TAGACTTCAAATTGTCTGTGCTGCATTTTCTCCCCAGAGAGCCATTGAAATTCCTGTACTGATTGAAACTGTACCTGATGTAAAATGTAGGAAGGTTTTTTGGGGTTTTGGTTGGTTGGTTGGGGTTTTTTTGTTTTGGTTTTTTTTTCCCTCCAAAGGTAATCCTAGATACTAGACTTGCTGTTTTGTTTTTTTTCCCCCAAAGGTAATCCTAGATACTAGACTTGCTCGAATTGTCTCTTTTTGGGGATATGGTTTGATCCTCAAGCCAGTGCAGTTTTTGGTGCCTGAATGTGTTTGATGGAGTGTATTAGCTTATCATGAACTTACCTACAGCTTGTATTTGTCTGTGTGGGGCTCAGGCCCACAGCTTGGCTCAATATGGTTGTTTTAATGAATATTTTTTTTTTATTTGAGTGATATATTGTGTCACTACCATAACACTGTCAAGTGGTGACTGAATTGGGTGCTGGGAGAATTCACATTCAACCATCCTCAAGACCAGCAGCAGTTGCTTAGTCAGAGACTCTTTTATATTTGATTGGTTTCTCTTGTGTTACAGCATGCATTTTTCTATTGGTAAACATTTTCAGTCTTGAATCACTTTTAAAACTGCTAATACACTGTATACATATTCAGTCTCTCTTTTTTTCCCTCCAGCAGTGCCTTCAGTTCCTACTGTGCACCTTCCCATAGTGTCTTTGAGTGTTTCTTGGTTTGCCTGTCCAATATACATTACTAGTGGTTTTATGTACACACTGATTTTGAGTTAGATTGTGGACATACTCCTCATTATTCTGTTTTCTCACTGTTCCTAACTCATACACTCCACTACTTGCTTACTGAAGTTGCAGGTCTTCACATCACTGCAGAGCCTTGGTTTTTTTGCTTGCTTTCTTCTGCATGCTGTAGCTACCTGCACTTGTGATAATTAGCTCGTTTTTTTTCAGGCGTAACAGCGATTGAGGAAAGGGTACCAGCTGGGCAGTAACCTACACTTGTGATAATTAACTCGTTTTTTTTCAGGCGTAACAGCAATTGAGGAAAGGGTACCAGCTGGGCAGTGCATGTGGTTGGGACTGTGTAACTCTAGTCAAGAATAATGCAGTTTTTGGTGTTAGTGATTTGATTTTAATGAAAGGCTTTGATTTTAATATTGAATTTACTAATAGCCACAGAATTTGGGAGTGTGCTGTGAACATCTGAATAAAGATAGTTTGTTGGGCTGATGTACAAACATTGGTGTCTCTGTGGTAAATGGCAACAGGTAATTAATACATGCTGGTAATACATTGCTTTTAGATTCCCAGTGTAGGTAATAATTTTCTAGTTTAAAAAAATGTTTAAACACTAAGTAGTCAAGGTTCAGTATTGGAGATGGCTTGTTATGGTGATGTTTTATTCATTTGTTAGTTGAATGCAAGGTTTCTTTAGTATGTTGTAAGTCACTAATGCAAAGCTTGTCTTGGACGGTATTTATTATTTCTACAAGATCAGGACAGTCAGCTGGGAATATTAACCCTTCATACCTGTCTCAAGGACAGAAGTTTAATTATTTTATTCTGCCCTGAATGCCGAATATTTGTCTTTAAAGAAAGCTCATGATTGTCATCTCCCTTAGACACTATATTCTAAACGTTCATTTAAGTGGAAACAATTGCTGGCATCTTTTTAAAGGTCTGAGCTATGGTGTCCTTTTTACTTGAAGCTGAATAAATTTATTGAATTTAATTGTTTTGGTGTCGTACTGAATTTCTCCATACAAACCATCTTTGCTGGGTGGCCAGTAAATATAATCTTTTTTAAGTCAAGTGTTATTTTCCCCCACTACCTCCCCAACTAAGGAGTCAGATTTATGTTGAAAAGACAATATTTCTCTTCAGAAGTAAATATTGATAGCATATATTAAAATATAGAAGAGCTAATATGTCCAAACTTTAAAATAATTTTCCCTATCTTTGAAAGGCTATTTTCTGGTCCTTTCAGAGGAAAGGGAATGCATACCATCTCCATTGGCCTGGTGTCAGCGAAGACTGTTGGTTTTTGTAATGCAAATTATCTTCTTTCTTGGAATTGACTTAATGTTTGACATTGCCTTCTCTCTTCCTGGGGCCAGTTGTTCAAACCAGCTTGAAATGAATGTCCTGTTTTACACATAGAAACCACAAGCTGTTGAAAATTACAGATGTGGAACTGTATTTACCTTTGGAGATGATAAAAGGGAATTTGTCACTTGGAAATTAGGACACATTGAAAGATGCTTTTTCATAAACTTCTGAACAAATGAGCATGTACAGTCTGTAAAATCTGTTAATACAGTGTGCACAAAGCATAGTTTGGTCTTATATGATATGGAGGCAGGAGACTTAGGCAATAATGTCCAGTTTAAAACAAAAAGCCTACTTTCAGAGCCAATTTTTTTGACTCTTCACAGAATAAGGTGCTCCTTGCACCTGGGTTACCTTATTAGTGGGAATTCTAGATTTATTTTCTTCAGTCAAGAAACCTTGTCACAAATGCATAGCTCTTGGACAAAAATGTACGTAGTTAGTTATATAGTGCAACATATTAATAAAAGCAGGACTTGTGTGGTCTGCTTTAAGTGTTAACAGATGATGTGATTTCAGCTAGTGTCATTCCTCTGCTGTGGAAATCACCACCACTGGACAATCTTTACAAATTGCTCTGATGTGGCATGGTTCAGTTACCTCTGATAAGATGTTCTGTTTAAATACGTTATTCTGGGATCATAGCCTTTGCAGTTATGGCTTAGTTTGAGATCTCCTGGAGTATACTGATTCTCTCCATAGGCTTTTTACAAGTTTGGGATTTTATTTCATTTAGCTGCTCATGTTTCTCACCTGGAGAATGTGTCTGAAGAAGAAATGAACAGGCTGCTGGGGATTGTATTGGATGTGGAGTATCTGTTCACCTGTGTCCACAAAGAAGAAGATGCAGACACCAAGCAAGTTTATTTCTACCTATTCAAAGTAAGCTGAATTTGTGGAGTATCTTCTTGGGTTTTTTGCTGTCTCACACATAAACCAGTTTCACTGCCCCTCATGCATGGATTGACTTTATCTGGCAAGACATTTTTTCTCTAGGGTGACACTGAGTAACTGGACTGGACATACTGGTTCTTGCCATGTTCTGGTTCTTAATCTAAAAGCCATCTGGATGATTGAAGAAGTAACCCTGAGTCCCATCTATAAACTGTGCCACCTTCACTTACATATCACAAAAAGTCAGTTGACATAAATGCTAACTCAGCTGCCTACATTTCCTCAGAGAAGCCTCTTGTACGTATATCGAAGAAGGTGAATTCACAGTGAAGTTTAGCAGTTACAAATTCAGATGACTAAACAAACAGATATATAGCCAGGAGATTTTCTTTACTGTTGTGCATGTGTCTTCCATTGACTCTATGTATGCAAATAAATTTTTACAATGTATATATTTTTAACAGCTTTTGAGGAAGTGCATTTTACAGATGGGAAAACCGGTAGTAGAAGGATCTTTGGAAAGTCCCCCATTTGAGAAACCTAGCATTGAACAGGTAAAGAGTCAAAACGTGGACTTGCTTGGTGTGGGTTTTGGTTTTTGTTGTTGTTTTTTGTTTTTTTTTAATTTGGGGGTTTGGGAGTTTTGTTTTTGGTTTGGCTTTTTTTTGTAAATGTAGGCACTGGTTTTGAAAACAAGGCATTTTAGGCAGTTTGCAGATGTTTCTGTGTATTTCTTAGAACAAAGTAGGGGATCATAGGAGGCTTCTGCTGCTGCTTCTTTACTGTTGGTACAATAGTTAGATTATTTGACTTCTCTCATCATTCATCTTATGCCTTAATGAAACAGTTTTTTGTGGGTTTAGAGAATTTTAACTTGAAATGCTACTTTTATGTGGGCAGTTCTAATCTTTCTTTGTTTCAAGTGATGAAAAATGCTGTTGAAGTTTTGAAATCCAATATTAAAATGACAGTTGCCTGCTGTAAATCAAGAAAAATGTTACAATCCAATTTAGTGAGATCACAGCCTTCTCTTTCAAAGGGTACACAACAAAAAACCAAAGCTGAAACCAAAGAATAACTGAGGCTTTTGTAACTCTCAATGGATAAAGAACATATGACAAGTTCAGTTTTTGGTTAAGCTAGCTCCTAAGAATGCACTTTTGGCAGTCAAGTGGGCCCATTAGCTCCAGTGAGACTATGCAGAGGCTCACATACCTCACTGAAACAGGAGCTCAGTGTTTTCTCTTCAGTGGATGAATGGATACTCTATTGTTAAACAGGATATTTTACATGTGAAGACTGTTATGTGTAGTAATTATTTCCTTGCAACTCTCACTTCTTATAATTTAGGAAAGTCAAAACACTTTGTTGCTGAATTTCTGGGAAGTTTTCACCTTATGTGTTCCTTTAGTTTGAGTATAAACAAAAAAATAATTGTATCTAATCTCCCTACACTCCTAGACCTTAAAATACGCTATTAAAAAGGTTTTGTGCAAGATAATTTTTGTCACATTCTTCATACTGTTCCATTTGTTTAAGAAAATGAAGCATAGGGTAATTCTTAAAAGTTTATTTTGAAATAACTTCCCCTTTAAAATAGACTAATATTTTCAATTCTGATATTAGCAGCTCAGCAACTCAATCAAACAAAATTATTGGCTAAGCACAATTACTATAATTAATTTATAATATATACGTATTGCAGCACTTTTAGTCACACATTTTAGCAGTGTTCAGTAGTTTCTTCTTAAAACTGAACAGTATCCAAAGTGAAACAAGGAGATGTGCTTGTGAAGTACTGACACTTCTCAAAGAAATAATATGATGTGTAGACACAAACTTAATTAGAAGTCCAGAAGTTATTATTGAAATATAGCTGGGGAGTTTTGTACGTGATACTTGATTTATAGAGCATATCAAAGAAAGACTGGGACTTTCTCTGTTCCCTGACTTTGAGAAGCAAGGAGAAACAAAGAATTTTCAGTCTCTCCCTGTATGTCAGCTGCTAGAGGTGGATTAAATAAAAATAGCTGGATGCACCTGCTGCTGTGTACAGAGGAATCAACCTGTGACAGCTCCATGAGTAGCTGAGCAAGGAGTTCCTGGTCTCCAGTATTTTTTTCTTTCCCATGTAATGCAAGTTCAGGGTTAATAAACATAAAGTGAGGAATGTTTGAGGATGCTCCTACAAAAAATGATGGCTAAATAATTAAACAGAATTTTCTTCCTTTTTAAGGGTGTGAATAACTTCGTGCAGTACAAGTTTAGCCACTTACCCTCGAAGGAAAGGCAGACAATAGTGGAGCTAGCTAAAATGTTTCTGAACCGCATTAACTACTGGCACCTGGAGACACCTTCTCAGCGAAGACTAAGGTCACCCAATGATGATATTGCAGGATATAAAGTGAATTATACCAGGTAACACTGCTTTTGCCTGTTACAAGTCTTTCTCATAAATAGGGTATGTACAAACTTCAGGAATACACCAATACCTTTACACCATAGATGTACCTTGTGAATTTTTGCAGTCATGGAGTCATGGAATTTTTGCAGTCATGGAGCAGACATGAAAACCTGAGGATTTTAGTGAGACTGTATCATTTTCATGCAGATCCTTGTGCTTTGAGAGGTGTGTTTTATCAGCCAAGAACAGGGAGTAGAGGCCACGAACCGCAGTATCTAACAATGCTTTTGCATGGTCTGTGTTTGCAGAGAGCTCTCAGACTTCTTAAGATATGATCCTCATGTAAGATCCTTAATTTCATGTACTAAAAATTCAGGCAGTTTCTTGTTTAACTTGAAAAGAAAGACAAAAGCATTAAGCATTGTAAAGCATCACAGTTTGAAACCAAATCACAGAGGAGTTGAGGAATCAAAATAATTTTGCAAGTGCTTGAATGCTAAATGGGGAACAGATATTAATAGGTTCCTTAAAATGATAGTTCTTGTTATGACCTTTTAATGCATTGTTACAATTCAAAGGAATAACTCAGTCACTGGGGGAAGAAGAGCTAGGATCAAAAGCCATGTCTCTTTTAATTTTCTTTTTCTCTTAACAGTAGTGCAGTGGCTTTTTCAGTTAGTACAGTGACAGCAGTTAAGGTTCCTGCTGGTGCAGGCAGCAGTTATCTAACCTCTCTGTCAGTCAGCACCCCTGTTACCAGGAATGGCCAGGGGTACTTTTCCTGGCTGAGGATGAGCACTGCCATCTGGCTGCTTTCCTGGTGGCCTATCCTCTGACACACATCAGCTCCATGAAGGAGAGCAGCAAACCCTGGTGTGGGTCGAGACTGTGGCTGGTGATACAGCAGACTGCACTGTGCCTGTGACTGTCTGGAATTCTCTCAGATGACCTGTCACCTCCAATAACTGCCTGGTATAAAGGACAGTTATAATCCATGGGGCTCCTAAAACCATGTTTACTGGGTGTTTGACCTCCATTCATTTGCGATAACAGATGTCAACCACGGTTGGTAGGAGTTAAGTTATATTAGGAATCAATAGGTAATTGGCTCTGTTTCGTGGCTTTTGTTGTTAATAATTTTGTCACTGTGGTTTCTCAAACCCTCCTACCCACAGTCCCTCAGGTGTTCCCTCTGACTCAAAGTGCTGCCTCTTTCCATCTGATCTAATCTGTCATTGTGAGCTTCTCCCCTCTGTGTTCTTCCAGGCATTTCTTGGGGTGCTGCTGTGCACCATGGATGCACCTCCTGAATTTTTCAGTCACCAATTTCATTTGAAAACCCGAGAATTAGCGTAAAACTGTATCAGAGATGCACATGCACGCCTGTGTTTGGAGAGGTGTGCTTTATCAGCCAAGAACAGGGAGTAGAAGTCTGCAAACTATTTTGCAACTTGTGTTTGCAAAGATTAAGGCACAAGAGCTTGGGAGAGCATTTTGAGACAAGCTGTACTTTGTGTCTAGATGAGGGAACCTGTGCAGGATCCAGCACAGTCTGTTTACATCCAGTTCTTAACATTTTCTTTTCATTGCTGGAGCTTTTGTAATGGTTGTGATCTGATTCTGCTAAAGCTTCAGATACCCATGACTGTTCACTTACATACAGATACCAAAATACTGTTTCCTGATTAGGCATAGGCCGTGTACTCCTGAATCATCTCTTCAGTACCATAATCCCTTTTCCAAGAAGAGAAGCATGATATGTTACAATTTTCATATGTACTTATTAATACAAAATTCATTAGATACCAGTAATGGAAGAGTAACACGTCAGGGTGTGATGGGAAGAAGGCAAGTGGTGGGAGACCAGGGCAGAAGTCCAGTTGGATTGGGATGGAGCTAGTTAAGTGTCACCCTTTTGCCTCTCTGTGGGGAAATGTAGAAGTTTGAAGAGGGGAAAACAGGCCATGCTAAGGGTCTTAAGAGTGAGAGGCAGATGTGGGAGGCTAAATGAATGAGCTGTGGAGAGAATCCCTGACATCAACATGAATTTTCTGTAATCTGTGATTATTGTCTGGAACAAAGCACTTTATGGAAACTAGATTGCAGAGGAAAAGAATATGTGGAGTCTCTAAAGAAATGACAAGCAAGTACTTTTATAAACTGGGTAATATAAATACTGCTTAATTCTGTCCAGCCTTTTTGTGGAACTGATTAATATGGTCATACAGCTCTCAGCTGCATTATAGATGATGTGGGTAGTGGTTTTATTGCATTGTCATATGTTTGATGGTGATAATATCTGGCTTTTTTCCTTCTTACAGGTGGCTTTGTTATTGCAATGTCCCTCAGTTCTGTGACAGTCTACCTCGGTATGAAACCACCCAGGTTTTTGGTAGGACATTGCTTCGCTCCGTTTTTACTGTAATGAGACGGCAGCTGCTAGAACAGGCCAGGCAAGAAAAAGACAAGCTTCCTCAAGAAAAACGAACACTAATCCTCACTCATTTTCCAAAGTAAGGGGTCACAGTGTGCCTGCGTTCAAGGTTAACCACTAGCTTTGGTGTGGAAAGGAAGAAATTACCTGCAGCTTAAAATAATTTCTTTTTATTCAGTAACAAGTAGATACTGCAGCTTTCTCTACTGCCATAGCTTGAACTAGTATTTTATATACACAACCACTTGCTTTGCTTTGTACTAGGATTATTCATCTTCCTGAGGGATTGTGCTTTTTGCCTGTTAGCAGGTATTGTTGGTCACTTACTTTAATTTTCTGTAGCCCTTGGAAACAGCACAGGTCCAGACCTCCAAAAACATTGCTTCCTTCTGCTTTGATGATGGAGAAGTCAAAAAAGGGAGTGTTGTACTGGAGTTTATATACAGCTAAGAATTTCAGTTTAATTCAGCATTGTGATAGGGAGCAAAGTAGTCACCCCATGCCCAGAAGAGACGAGTTTATTTGAGAAAGAAGAGAGGATTCAGTATAAAACTGCATCAGTGAATCCTAAACACACAAATTTCATATTGACTACCTGTTCCAGTACTGAAATGTTGATTACAATCTCTCACAATTAAACAACAATAATTACATATTGAGGTATGTGGAAGAATGACGTGTCTCAAAACATGCTCAACTTTGACAGTGCTTAATTTCAAACATTTTAGTGGTGATTAGGATCAGTGGTGGTGGTGACAGGGTCGTTCATTGTAATCTTCCTCTTAAAATAGTGTATAATTTCAAAAATATCCTTATTTTGTGAGGGTGGCTTGGCTCTCTAGGCTGTACTTTAAAAGCCTGTCCCTCCTAACAGCAAAGGAACTAAACCTACAGGAAAGCTGATGGCACTGATGCTATGCAAGCTACTGTCTGGGGCTAGAAGTTGTGTGGGTGCTCAGGAGAATGAAAAACAGCATGAGCTTTCCAAAGCTGAGTACGGACAGGATTTGTTGTTTCTACTATTATTAATAGTGTGTTTTACCACCCTGAAGAATGCAAACTTGGGATAGACTGTTATGGATACAGGAATGTTTGTGTGTATCTGGGAATAGGATCATGATCTGGCCCTGAAACAGATATAAAGAAGGATTTAACACAGCAGTGATTCAGGGAGCAGAGCTGCTGAGGAAGCAGGTGTGCATACACCCATGTTTTCACTGCTTTTTACAGCCTTTTACAGTAATTTGAAAAGCATTATTATTCACTGCTGTTCCTTTTGATATTCCGCTGGGGGTGAAAAAAGAAAAGAAAGACAAGCACTGTTTGCAGATGATCTGTGGGGAAATATGAATAATGTTTTAAATCTTTTACGGGCTGCACTTGTCTGAAGTATTTGTCTCTCTGCTGGCATTATGCAGAGTGAGCCCTGCAGAGGAGCTGTGCCTCAGAGTGTGGAGCCTGGTGTTGGCACAGGACTCCTGACTGCCCTGGACATTCCTTTCTGGGCAAAGGGAGCATCCACCAGTTGTGTGTGTGTATACCTAAGAAGCATTGAGTAACAGGTCTGAAGGCAGAGCCTCGTGTGTACCTAAGAAGCAGTGAGTAACAGGTCTGAAGGCAGAGCCTCTGTGCTGCCTGTAAATGCAGCTTTGGCTAAAGTTTAATTTGTCCTTCTGCTCTGTCACAGATGGTCAGGTTGGTGTTACAAACTTTTTTAGCTGTTATCAGCTGTATAGACAGCAGCAAACACAGCACCTTGATTAGCTGGACTGTATATACAATACAAGAGTCTGACTTGGTCCTGGAAATCCTTATCTTGTTCAAGAAAGTCTTACTCAACAATCCTGTTGGGTTCAGCTGGACAATTTCTATACATATAGCTGACTCTAGAGAGTAAAAATGTGCTGTATCAACTTCTGGTCTGAAAACCCCTTTTGTGCAACATAGGATAAGCAGCTATCTTGCTTCTGAGAGGCACTTCATGTATTAGCCCTGAGAAAGTGGCAGATAGTCTGATTTGTGGAATTTCTTTTACGTATAATAATGGTAAGAGAGGTTTAAAATCATGCTGTTTCTGTAACTGTACCAAAGTAAGGTTGAAAAGACATCTATGCAAGCACAAACATGCAATTAAATGTTACAGTAGGACAATTAAAGTAGCAAAAATTTCTTCCTAAGAGCATTGTTAATAACTAGCACTGGAATTTTATCAATCTATAAGAGGCAGAAAGCAAGTGCATCTGCAAAACACTCGTTTATCAAAACAGACATATTTTGCCATCATTGTATAACATCCATCAGCTCACAGCTTTCTTATTAATGCAGTTTTGTTCTGTAAAAGTAGTTTGTTACTGTTTCTTTCTGCATTTGTAAATTAGATCAATGTTATTTATTATTAAAGATAAATTCTCATAAGTGAAAGCACTCTACTGATTTAAAATACTTATTGTCTAATGTGGCTTGTGATTTTGTGTGTGTTCTTTTTTTTTTTTAACAAGAATTGGCCAACGGCATTTTCTTACTGACTCAGTAAATATTCTTAAATTTAAAAAGTTGCAAGTGCTTATTTTGAAAAAGAACCTGTTTGAGATGATCATATCAAGTTAATATTTCATATGGTTTTATTCCCAGGTTTCTGTCTATGCTGGAAGAAGAAGTGTACAGCCAGAATTCTCCCATTTGGGATCAAGATTTCATGGCATCTAGTTCCCGAACTGGCCAACTGGGAATCCAGACAGGTAATTTGCATTTAGTGCTGAGTAAGACAAATGAAAACTGGATGAGTTGGGATTAGTGGGTTTTTTGGTTTTTTTTTTTTGGTTAGTGTTTTTTTTTTTTTTTTGGTTTATTTGGGTTTTTTTTTAATATTAGAGAGAGAAAGATGTTAGTCTGTGGCCTTTTAAAATAATAGCTTCATCCTCTTAACTGGTGCAACAACTTCTTCCTTTATTGAGTTTGACTTGTCCAACCAGTCTTTGAACACTGTTAAAGTGGACAGCTGAAGCTGAATGATGAGATTTTGCTTTTCAATAGACCCCTGAAAAAAAGCCTTTTCATGAATCTAAATGCCAGCAGGCTTGGCAGGTATGTGAAGGGAGTTTGTTTTCTTAGCTTGTGCTCAGCACTGCAAAATAATAAAGCCTGATGTTTGCAGTCTCTGTTATCCAGCAGTCCCTTGTTAGGTAGAAATAGTTCAAAAAAGTATGTTGAGATAAAGCTTTAATATCTCTGCTTGCAAACTGGTAGCATTGTTCTGTTGCACAATGTTAGCTGTTACTTCCTAGGTGGTGGGTGTGAAGGTGGGTCTGTTGTTGTGACAGTCCTTCAGTGAGCACCAAAATGGGTTCCACGTCCTGATTTTTTTGTGTTTGTCTTTTATGCCATTGCAGTTATCAGTCCACCTCCTGTTGCAAGATCTGTTGCATACAGTGCAAGTCCTTCATCTCTGGAGCAGCCCAACAGTGGGAATATGAGTCCTGCTTGCAAAGTTGCTTCTGCCCTTGACCCAAACTTAGGTAATGGAGAGGGAGACTTGCTCTTTGGCTTCTGTTGGTATTATCAGTAGTTGCAGCATATGTTGACCTTTGCCTTCACTCTGCAATGGGGAACTTGAGGTGTTTTTGCTGAAAGACATGCACATATATGCTTCTTCTCCACTATGGTAATGTTTATCTAGCAGAAATGGCAAATGTATTTCTAAGAAAGAAAACTGGTTTATTTAAATTAAATTAAAATGGAGAAAGGTCTGCTGGTGTCAGAGGTTTCTGAAAAATCCTTACTTGGAGTACATCACAAGTACAAGATCCGGAGTATGTTGCAGTACAAGCCATGAAAAAGGTTTCATTTAAATAATGGCAGAGTCAAAGGGGCCATCACATTTGGGCTTTTTTAATATTTCGAGGTACTGAAAGTGCATACATTTGAGCAGTAAAGAAAAGCACAAACACACTAACCGGGTTAAATTGAAAGCCTGAATGAGGTCAGGTTAAAAAAAAATTTGGAGGAAAAAAGTTGGCAAATGCATAAATTCTCCTAATAAATTCTTTTTGAAACACCCTCAGGATTAATGACCACGTCAAGAGAGTTTGTAGGTCAGAGAGATGATCCTGAGCTTGTGAGTCCTTAAGGAAGTAGAAAAACTTAAATGAATTCTTAGCTTCAGTATTTACTACAGAGGAACTTAAGGTGGCTCCTAAACTGCAGCTTTTTTTAAGACCATTTCTCAACTTGTCCCTCAAAAGTGAGAATGAGTAGGATAATGAGTGGGATAATCCTGAGCTCTATATGGCTCTATTAGTGTACCTCTGCTAGTCCTAGGTGGATTTTTCTTTCATGAATTTAACTGGTTCCTTTTGCTATATTACATATTGGTCTGCACTTAGTAGGACAGCTAATAATTAACATGGTATATTTTGATTTGGAAACATTATATGGGTTTTCTAAGTCATATATGTATGATGCATCAGACTGTATGTGTGGCTTAGTTTACAAAAAGGATGAAAGAAATATATAGCAACTACTTAGTTGAAATGAATCCTAAAATGGGGATTTCATGTTATCTAGAAATGTGCACTACAGTTTGTGTATTGAGCACTGGCCTTCCAAGACAGCAGCACAGAGGTTCCATGCAGAGGATTTTGAAGCAAAAGAGAAAAGCAAATAGTTTCACTGTGAATTTACAGAGGTATAGGAGAGATATATTCATCCTGCTTCATGCTAATATCCCAGTGCAAAGCCAAAATTGAGCAGTGATAAATACTGTTCAGATTTGATTTGTTCTCCCTTTCCATGGGGATTAAAAAAAACCCCACCACAAAACTTGTCATACAAACAAGAATTTTACAGAAGTGCTAGACTCATAATGCTAGTCTATGACAGTTTAGTTGTTTCTAATTTGCCCTTGTTTTGTTTTATAGGGGAAAAGAGGAAAAATAATGAACCCTATTCTCTGGAGGATTCCAAAAGACCAAGGGTTGTAGGAGATATTCCTATTGAGTTAATCAATGAAGTAATGTCAACAATTACAGATCCTGCAGCAATGCTTGGGCCAGAGGTGAGAAATACATAGACTTCGTGTTGCAAATGGTCTGTTTTTAGTAAATGTTCCACATGGATGGAGTATGATTAGCTTAGAGTCCTGTCGAGAAAAATAGACTTTGAAAGAGTATCATTAGGTGAACAAAATATCGGTGAAATACATAATTAACATGAAGAATATTTCTACAATTCTTTTTAATGCATTGTGTATAGTTAGCAAAGAGACTTGTAAATTAGCGATAGTAAAAAGGTAGATCCCAGGTTATCCTGCAAGGTACTTTTGTTACAGAACACTTTCAGAGTATGCTTTTATTGTTAATCATAGATATAGCTCATAAGACAAGGTTAAATGGGGTTCAAGTGTTTTAGCACAATGAAAGATCCAAAGTTAAAACCTCTGTCTAGTGCTGAAACTGATTTAAACATTTATTTGCTCTGTCTTCCCCGATTGCTCTTTTTCCTGCTGGAAGAGAAAAACAAACAGAATTGCGAAATTGTGCCATATACAGAATTGCACACTTTTTTTTTTTTGGCTGGCTTTTCCTCCTTCTGTTCCCTCTGCCAGGCTATGTTTTGCCAGCAGCTTGTTTGCCAAGGTTTAGCTAGAAACTGCTGAAGATTTGGAACCACCTACATTTCTTATTCAAACTATGTACTGTGACTGATGGATCTGCATATTACAAATGCTTTGCCAGCCTGGCTGTTGGGGCTGGCAGTGACTAGAAACCCAGCAGCCAAACTTTGCTCTAAAAAGTAAACAGTATGTGCATGCAAAGCTGTTTTAGCATTGTAAAATTGTCTTTGAAAAAAAAGGGTAAATAAATTGTATTAATATAATCTGCATTCAAATATATGGATGCATTTGTTAGATATGTAACTGGGTTTTTTAGGAGTTAAAATGTTCTTTTTAGGCTCTTACAGTAGTGGCAGAGACAGTGGAAAATGCTACTTTTTCTGCATCACCATTAAAATGTGTGATTTGCAGTATATGTAGGCAAATCCACTACTGTTGCCCAAGCTAACTAAGACTAAAGAAAATATAAAGACTTAGTGGCATAAGCTTCAACTGGATGAGTGATGTCCCTCAAGAGGTTTTGGAACTTGCTGAGTCATAAACATTGCTGTTGTTACCTGATCTTTACCAATACATGTTCAAATAGGCCTTTATACCCTGTATGTATATACACTTATACACTATAGACTTAGATTTGGCTTATTTGATGGTGTCCCTTCTGCAAAGGTACATTACAAAGGCAATCATTGGCAGCTCTTGGACATAAGAGTGGATTTTACTTGTTTGTTCATTAAGGCTGTTCTGTCAGAGGATGTGAAATCTCAAAAATGCGATTTTGTTCCTCTTTTGTGTGGTACAGACCAATTTCCTCTCAGCACACTCAGCCCGGGATGAGGCAGCGAGGCTGGAGGAGCGCAGAGGGGTGATCGAATTCCATGTGGTTGGCAACTCTCTGAACCAGAAGCCCAACAAGAAGATCATGATGTGGCTGGTTGGTTTGCAGAATGTGTTCTCCCATCAGCTGCCTCGAATGCCGAAGGAATACATCACACGCTTGGTCTTTGATCCGTGAGTGTCCTTGGAGAGGGGTTTGGTGCGTGAGACAGAGAGAGGCTGCTGCTGTTTGCAGGCAGTGGTTTAGGAAGGGGCCAGCAGAGGTGGTGTGGAGTGGAGCTCTGCCTGTGCTACACTTTTGCTATCTTTTTGAGTTCTTACAACTCCTGGTCAGTCTAATTGAATTGTACCTGAATACTATCTTGGGGGCTGTATTAATGACAAGTGACTTCTTCTTGTGTGACTGTGGTGGGTTGACCCTGGCTGGATGCCAGATGCCTACCAAAGCTGCTTTATCATTCCTCTCCTCAACTGGACAGGGGAGAGAAAATACAATGAAAGTTTCTTGGGTAGAGCTAAGGACACTCACTGATTACTGTCACAGGCAAAACAGACTCAACTTGGGGAAGTTAGTTGAACTTTTTACAATTCAGATCAGAGTAGGGTAATGAGAAAATAAAACCAAAATCTTAAATACCTTCCCCCACTCCTCCTTTCTTCCCAGGCTTAGCTTCATTCACCATCTTCTCTACCTACTCCCCCAAGCGACATAGGGGGATGAGGAATGGGGGCTGCAGTTGGTTCATCACATGTTGTGTGTGCCACTCCTTCCTCCACAATGGGGAGCTCCTCACCCTCTTTCCCGGCACCAGCATTGGGTCCCTCTCACAACAGACAATCCCCCATCAACTCCCTCCAACATGGGTCCTTCCCATGGGCTTCATTTACTGCTCCAGCAGTTTCACCTGCCGTGATGAAGGCCATGGTGAGGCAGGCTGTCCCCCCTGCAGCCTATGGAGAAGCCCTGTACTGGAGCAGATGGATGTCCGAAAGAAGGCTGTGACCCTGTGGGAAGCCCACCCTGGGGCAGGCTGCTGGCAGGCCCTGTGGGCCTGTGGAGAGAGGTGCCTGTGCTAGAGCGGGTTTGCTTGGCAGGAGTTGTGACCCCGTGGAAAGAGACCCATGCTAGAGCAGTTCATGAAGAACTGTAGCCTGTGGGAGAGATCCCATGCTGGAGCAGGGGAGGAAATCTTCCCTGAGGAAGCAGCAGCAGAAACAACCTGTGATGACCTGACTGTAAACCCCATTCCCTGTCCACCTGCACCACTGTGGGCGAGGAGGTAGAGAACTGTGAAGGAGAAGGAGTGGGGACAATGTGTTTTTAGGATTTGTTTTACTTTCCATTATCCTGCTCTGATTTTGATTGATAATAAATTCAACTTATTTCCCTAAGTCTGTTTGTTCCCTGACAGTAAGTGGTGAGTGATCTCTCCCTGCCCTTATCTAAACTTGAGTCCTTCATTATGTTTTGTCTCTCCCCTCCAGTTGAGGAGGGGAGTGATAGAGCAGCTTTGGTGGGCATCTGGCATCCAGCCAGGGTCAAACCACCACAAAAGCTCTAGGTTCTACATCGCTGCTATCATTCCACAAGTAAAGAGCACTCAAATAAGTATGAGAAAAAGAACATATAATAGGTATAAAATCTCCTTCAACGGTGGCACATACAGCATAACTGCTCTTCAGATGAACTTTTTTGACAGGGTCTGGCTATTGGCACCAACCTTTACCCCAAAATTACATCTTGTGTGAATTTACTGTATTGTTTATGCTATTTATGTGATACTGTGTGTTGAATAATCTAAAGACAGGCACAGTGTAAGTCTTCTCACACCTTGAGGATTGCACTAAAATTCTTCATCCTTGGCACAAGAGTTGAGATTGCACCTCATTACATCTTTCCTGGCAGTCAATGTAAGTGCAGCTAAAATGGATATTTATTCTGGCCTTGATTCTACTAGGAGTGGATGATTAGAAATAAGAAATGTCATCTCTTGCTTCATCAGCTGCATTTGAAACTGATAGCTTGGCTATAGGGAGTACATGCAAGGAAACAGGAATCCCTTAGAAAGGACTTGCTGTCCTGTAATTCCATTAATTTCTAATTTACTCAGGGTAAAGTCATCCTGAGATCTGCACAATGGTGTAACCTTCAACAACAGATTCAATGAAAGCAATACAACTTTTGTTTATTGGGCATTACCCTAGTAACTTGGAATACTTGGCAAGGCCAGGACCTTGCTTTGTGATGATGACCTCTATGGTAAGTTCAAAGCATGATGTTATATAACAGCTCTTCTGTAGCCACAAGCAGCTAACTTAAGAGGCATATACAATTGCATGAGCATCATGGAAAGAAGTGAATCAAGTTTCTGAAAAAAGCAAGGTAATGGCACTTTATGTACTATGTACATGAATTAAAGTGATTGTTATTTTTGTCTCCTCAGGAAACACAAAACCCTTGCATTAATAAAAGATGGTCGTGTTATCGGTGGTATCTGCTTCCGGATGTTCCCCTCCCAAGGATTTACGGAGATTGTTTTCTGTGCTGTGACTTCCAATGAGCAAGTCAAGGTAAAAAATAATTCTCTACTGGAGTTTATTAAATGGATTTGAGTCCCATTTACTGCTGCATGTGCTCCTAATATTGTTAGTCATGTGGAATATACTGCTGAGTTGCCAGACACTGAGCATGAAAGATACAGTGATTCTGTAAACCTAAACAAATATGCTGATTTAGAATCATCATCATAATAGTAGGGTTCCCTGTAATTAATTAATTGAATAAAAATCTTTCTAAACACAGCAATAGTGGCCAGTAGTCTCCCATTCTTGGACTGTTCACTCCTCTGTCTCAAGTAGTTGTGTCTATATGTAGTGTAACACCTCATTGTTGACTGAAATAAGTATTGTTTGTGTGTGACAGTAATTTGCGTTCAATCACTTTGTGACATTACGTGACTTCAGTCAAAATGAGATATGTCAAAAAAGTTAGGCATAGTTTTGCATCTCAAAATAAGCACAGGGTCCATTCTATACGCTTTTGAGTTAATTTCACAAAATGTGCTCAGAATGTTGAGAATTAGCATCTGTGTTGAAAGAATATGGAGCACTATGAATACAGGAGATTCATCCATCTTTCTCAGCAGCTACAGGTAGATCTATGACTGGTTCAGTATTTTGCCTTTAGATGGTGCTGTAGCTTCATGATTTTCAGTTGAAGTGGTGAGAGTTAGATGTGGGTTAATTCAGAGTTCATAGCAGTTAACATGCAGAAATCATGCTCCCTGGTGTGAAAGGGTAACAGTGGGTCTGAAAGCCTGTGACAACTGTTAGTACTTGGGTTATGTTTGATTTTATTCAACTCTGGCATTAGAGAGGAACATTCTCCTGCACTTCGCAATGGCCTGTCATAAAAGTCTCCAAAGCGCTTCAGCAAATGCAAATTCTAACAGAATATGCTAAAATTATGCTTAACTGCACTACAGAGGTGGGGCTGCCAAAAGTGTGTTGTGATTTTCTAAGAATAATCTTTCAAAATATAGTAGAGAAAATGAATCTGACCGATCAGAGTGCCTCTGAGTTTGCATAATGCACAATGTATTCTTTTACCCTCTGGGTGCCTCACTGTATCAGTTGACTGTTTCTGAAAATTTGCCTTCTCACATTTCTGTCTGAATAAGGTGGCTGAGCAGGTAACTGAAAAAAAAATAAATAAATGTTTACACATGGGGGACCTACCTAGTTTTGGGAAAAATCCTATTTTTATTCAGTTTGAGGCTGGAGTTAGAAATACAGGAACTGTATTCCCATACAAGTTGAATTGGTTTTGAGGTAGTTTGATCACATATTACAAAATTATTTGAAATAATACTGTACATGGCTTAGTTTCCTTTTAGGTTGGTTTTTATCTTGTCTATTCCCATGTTTGGGGCTATTAAATTGTAAGTTAAATCAGAAGTTTCTATTTTCTACTTTTTTTTTCTGGCTTATGTACATAAGCAAAAATTTCCTGTTTTCAAGAACAGAGTACACGAAATGATTCCATGTATATTTCTTTAAGTGTCCAGTTAGTCTCTATGATGATAAAATTGGTACAAATGCAGGAACAGAGCATGATGATGAGCTTTCCTGTCTGTTTTACATTTCTTCATTTCACAGCAGAAGGGGAAGACTATAACTTACTTGGAAATGTGAATAAATGGAACCTTTTGTTTACTTTGGGGTTGAATGAAAATGGAAATTGTGTGCACTCAGAAGGCATAGCTATTTATTTGACTGTGGACTCAATAATTTTCTGCTGTTTAGTATGGTAATTGTTTCACTGTTTCCTTTTATGCCTTATGATAAGTTTAGATTATAAATCCTATTTATAAGGCTGTTTCTGCTACAGGTGCACGGAACACAGGCATAAGTTCATTATTGCTACTGCTTTGCAGTTTTGAAGTGATATGGCTAAGGAAGGATGCCTTATTGTTACAGCACATGTAGTTTTGTTATTGGTGAAATATGGGGCTACTAGTAGTTGATATATTATTTAAAAGGGAGGAAAAAAATTGTGGACACCTTGAATTACAACTTCCAGCACAATGTACCTCTTTACAGCCATGGTTTACCCCTAGAGAGAGAGTGTCTAGATTTTTGTCTCCTTTAGATTGAAAGTGAATCAGACACCAAAAACTGTGATATTTTGTGTTCCATGTTGTGTCACGAAGATATCATTACAAGGCTGAAAACATTTTGATCTTGAGTATGCCTCAGCAAAATCCCCAAAGGCTTTGTCATGGCTTTTTCCTTGTACATTTCACACAGGGTTATGGGACTCACCTAATGAACCATCTGAAGGAGTACCACATCAAACATAACATCCTCAACTTTCTCACATATGCAGATGAATATGCTATCGGTTACTTCAAGAAACAAGTAAGTCAATGAGAGAAATTACTTGGTGCAAGAAGTTGAACATATGGCAGTGATGAACTAAACATCTGGACACGACAAAGTAGTTGGATAAAACCCTTTTCATGCCTGCAGTATCTCTTCCCCAGTTTGAAGGTGCTCAGTCTCTTAAGTCTGAAGCCTTTGATGGTAAATTGTGAGGCAGAAGTTTGGGTTTCCACTTAATACTGATATTTCATAGATACCACAGGAGCAGAAGAATAAAATGCAGCCCAAGAGAGAGTCCTGCAGTGCATTTTATTGTTCTGGTTAATTCTTTTGTGGGTTTGTTTTTCAATTAACTTTTGAACTGTATGAAGACTATAGTATAACTTTGGACCTTTTAAGAGCATTTGTTATCTTATTTTTTTACTTAAAATACACAAGTTAAAGTTTTCCAGCTATAGAATTGTTGTTGTCTCATCGATTTCAACAGCAACTTTGCTTGATTCATAAATACAGGACTGGTATTCTTAAATATTAAAATAGCAGTTCTTTGGAAAAATCTAGGAAATTTGTCCACAGTAAAAATATTATCTTGAATCTTCTTATCTCCACTACCTGTCTTCTTTTCCTGTACATATAAGCAACTAATTGTTCTTCTGTCAAGTGCCTCCCATGAGAAGGTGTTTGCAACACTATGAACCATAGTCTGTAACTTGTTCTGTTGTATTATTTGTATTTTAACGTTGTGATGAATTTGGCTCTAAGTCATCATAGCATTTCAGTTAAAACAGATGGAAAAGGAAAATGGCATCATGACAACATAAGTTTCTTTTTTTTGCCAGGGTTTCTCCAAAGATATTAAAGTACCAAAAGCAAAATATGTTGGCTACATCAAGGATTATGAGGGTGCCACATTGATGGGATGTGAACTAAATCCAAGGATCCCCTACACAGAATTTTCTGTCATCATCAAAAAGCAAAAAGAGGTAAAGGCTGAAATGAAATGCTGGATGTTATCATCTGTTCAGATATTTAGAAACAATTCAGTCAGTGCCAGGTTGGCTCTATTCTTTGCTTTGGTGCTTAAAACATTAGAATTGTATACTTTTATTGGTTAAAATGATCCTTTCATTTAAGTCCCAGTGCCATAATTTTGCAGTTGAAGCATTAAATTATACCTTACTGACTTCGCAATAACAAAACTGTTGAAAAGTACTTACATTTTGAGGATTATTCATAGCTTAATTTTATCATAGTTGATAACTAAGCAAAATCTTGTGAAATTGATTTGTTTTGCGGCTTTGTTAATATCCCCCCACATAAGGTTAGTAGTGTTCATTAGAGTGACATTTGAATGGAGTGTTTGTACTGCATGGCCTGTATTTTGCTTGAAAGAAAGAGGACGATTTTTTTTCTGCCACTGTTTTAATACATAAATCAAGAGGGAGCTTTCTTAATTTCCAGTCTGTTCCTCTTTGGAGTTTATATAGGATGTTCTTCATGTAGTTCATAATACTATTCCATAGAATAAGGCAGTTAATTATTTTGCTAATAAAGATGTTTCCAGTTGTTTTTAAGTACCTTTCTGGGTTTTTAAAGAAATCCAAATTATAAGGATAATTTGTTCATTCAAGGTTGTCCAAACCTGATTTTTTTGTTAAAAAGCTGCTTTATGGAACAACCATTTTTCTTCCAATAGAAATATTTGGCTCATGTTTGCAGAAAGAAGGACAGTATCTGGTTGCTATGCATTTAGTTTATGAGGTTTTTTAACTTCACTCTTTGGGAAAGTTTTTATATGTCCATACAACACAGACTGTAATTTTTTCCCTTTAATTTCTGCTTCGCTGAGTTACTCTTCAGATTCCAGTCTACTGCTGGACATGCCACCTTCCCCTGAGGGTTGGGATGTCAGAGTGATTATGTGGGGGACATGTCTCTTGTAGTCTGTTAGACCTCAGGTATGCTTAACTGCAGTAGTGCAGTTCTGGGCCCAAACCATCAGCATAATATGTCACTTCCAAAAACATGCTAGTTTGTAAGTTTTTGGCTCTGGGACTGCTTTATTAGTATATGTTATTTTTTTTATTCTTCACTCTCTTATTTGGTGGGATGTCCATATTGTTCTAAAGCACTTGGAGACACTCAACTTGTAAATTATTAGAAAGAAATCTGTTGTTATATGCTGGGAGAATTTCTGATTGCTGACGGACATGTGAGCGTGAGCAATCCAGCCTTGCTAGCAGGGCCTGAGCAGGCTGCAAGCTAAGTTGGTCAAGGACACAGCTGTGGTTGGAATGTGAGAAAGAAGGTAGTGAGATAAACAACTGTTGAAGTTGAAGATAGTTAGGGGTGGAGAATAATGATTAGGCATCTTATGATTGCTATGTTAATAACCAATTATATTGTGTGTAAGGTGGGCTAGTAGTAGTAGTTAACCAATAATAAGTGCACAACCCTACAGTCTAAATATGTATATCTCTCTCAATAAAGTGTGCAACAATCATAACCGTATTGGTATTTGTTGTACCACGGCAGCTGACTCTGGCTTTAGGGTCCCTCAGCAGTTATACACTGATCTATGCTGTTGATTTTTTTCTGAGAATAAGTATCTGCACCTTTGGAAGTGTATTTTAGGATTGCCTGTTTAACACACAAAACACAGATCAGGCCTCTTGTTTTGCACGTTCCAAGGAAATTTAGAAATAGCCCTCACAGTCTGCAGCTTTATGAATAATGTTTGCTTGTCTGCTCATACCAAAAGCAGCAAAGACAATACCTGGACATAAGGAGAATTTTGAATGTTGACAATTGGGATTATGTACTGATTTCCTTTGATGCTGGTATTGGCTGGTTCTGGACATCAGACTTTTCAAGCCCTGTCCTTTTGGAAGTGAAGCTTTTCATGGGATCCAAGCTTTTATTTAAAAGAACTGGAGTATATGCCTATGGCTTCTAAGACTGTGTCATCTGACACTGTGTACCAGTAGCTCATTTACAGGCATTCTGAAAACTCTAACAAATCCCTTTATGCAAAACTTTGGGACCTACTGACTGACGAGCGATCAGTGCTACCGATCAAGCAGCTTACTTTAACGAGGAAGAGCCACTGGTTCCTAAATTATAAGAAGGGTTTAAATTGGATTTAACAATCAGTTTGAAAGTATTTTGATGTTATCCTGAAATCTGGGCTTGGTGCTGTTGTATACTGTATTTTTGTAACATTTCTAATCTGTATTGAAGGTCTGGTTTTATCTTCTCTTCTTCTTTGAGAGAAAATATTTTGTGTGAGGGAATGAAGGTCCTTAAAAATATGTCCATCTTTATTATTTCCAAAGAAACTGTGGTGGTCTGAATGGCTGTGCATTTGTTTACCCCGAGTTATGAAGTAAGACATTCTAAAAGTGACATATTTAGGACACACAAAGCTTAGATACTTATCTAAGTGTGTATCAAGAGCACCAAAGCAAATTGCTTAGAATTTGAGGTAAGATTGCAAAGTAAAACAGAGGTGTACCCTGGAGTGGGAAAAGCCTTTCCCTAGCATATTAACAGCAGAGTGAAATTTCAGTTCCAAAGATTTGCATCATTCTGATGCCCTCCAGAGAAAATCTTTTTAGTGAGAGTATCTCTGGTACCTAAGCAACTCCTACAATTATATGGAGACTTCGGAGTGAACAGGTGTTTCTAAAATTTTGGAGTATGAACATATATGTACGTCAACCTATGTGCATTCAATCTGTGCTTTGAAATTTCTGACCAGCTATGCTGAAGCAGTTCAGAAGCTCCAGCTGTTAGAATTCTAGACCCAGTTCCCAAACCTACTTCCAGGAAATTTCTTTCCCTGCCCCTGCTCCTGTCTTCCCATGAGCTGTGCATCTTGTGATCAGTGCAGCAGGTAATGACTCCTTCCAGATTTGTGCCAAAATAGCTGAGAAACTTGGTAGCTTCATCTGCAGAATCAGTGTTTTGCCAGGTAGCTCAGCCCTGTTACCAGCTTTGGTGGATTGAAAAGGACCATACGATTAGGAAATGAGTATGTTTCTGTTCATCAGTGTTTTGCATCTGGGTCACTTTTGAGCAAATACATTGTTTTGTTTTCTCTGCTGCTTTATTACAGATCATTAAAAAGCTCATAGAAAGGAAACAAGCTCAAATACGGAAAGTTTATCCTGGCCTTTCTTGCTTCAAAGATGGAGTACGGCAGATTCCTATAGAAAGCATTCCTGGAATTAGTATGTATCAACCTCTTTTAATGTAGAACAGAAGCAGAACAGCTCAAGAAGGGTCCAAGACTAGGAATACTAATGTAGTTGCATATTTATTTTTTAATAGAATGTAATTGTTTTGGTTTGCTGACTTGATTTCTGTGAAGATTGTTGTGTTTCCACTACAATTGCTATCTGTGAGATTTCCCCAAGGCATCCCAGGATGATCTTCTTTTATGTATGTGTGTGTAATGTTATTTATATGTGATCCCTCTTTGATTTGTATCACAGTGTAGGTGACAGTTTCCCTCTGGCACCATTGTTAATGCACTGTACTCCTGAACAACAATAATGTCCATGCTAGACATTGGCTTACAAGACAAAGCAGAATTAAAAAATTTGAGTATAATTTTTTGGGGGGCTTTTCTTTCAGCTGTGCTGTCCTGCAATTTATTCTCTGTCCCTAAGGAATCAAATTGGATAATTTGGTCATCATTATTCTTTACAGCAGTCATGGTAAAATATGTATTGAACTATTGGAAAAAATGTGTGCTTCATATAGAAATATTTTAGAGTCTTTTCAGCAGTCTGGAGGAAGAGACATGCAGAAAATTGAATGGGACTGTAGGCTAGATGGTTGTGTTATTTATTAGGAGTAGCTTTTATTGAAACAAACCCATTTTACTGCAGCAGTGCTGAAATGGCTTTTCTTTTTAGAGTTGCAATAACTCAGTTAATGTTTTGACCTACTGTAGTTCGCATGTAATCTCTCATGTTGTTGGTGTACAGGAGAGACTGGCTGGAAACCAAGTGGAAAAGAAAGGGGGTAAGTGATGCACAAAGTAAAATGATGAAACAGTTGAGATGTGGCTTTGAGAAAAGTCTTTTAACAATGTCATTTGATATCTCCTTCTGTCTGTTGAAAAACAGATAAATCTGGTTTTGTTTGAGTTTTTTGTGGGCAGGTGTGATCTGGGTGGTGGGGTTTTTGTTTGGGTTTGCTTATCTTACATTTTATTTCTTCCATAAAATGCTTGAAACTTGGAGATGCTTTTAGGTAAGATGCAAATTGTAGGAATGAAGATAAAAGATTCAAGCTAATATTTTTGTATTTGTATTTTCCTTCAAGTAAGGAGCCCAAGGATCCAGATCAACTTTATAGCACCTTAAAAACCATCCTGCAGCAGGTGAAGGTGAGTGCTAGTTCTAGTTTCTTCTGTAAAGATTTTTAAATTATTTCCAATATAGAGTTTCCATATTAGATACCTTACTTTTTTCTTTACCAAAGAGCCATCAAAGCGCTTGGCCCTTCATGGAACCTGTGAAGAGAACAGAAGCTCCTGGATATTATGAAGTTATAAGGTTTCCCATGGGTAATACCATTAACATTTTTTAAGTATAGAGTTTAAAAATCTTTATAGATGGAGACATAGCAGATAAATTGTAATCTGATTATTTTATGGTAAAAGATATATGTTACTTGCAACTGAATACCTTGCAGCTCTGAAGCACCAAGAGTATGATGCTGTCATTTGAAATTGATGACTGCTTTGTGACCTTTGTGAAACACCTACAGTGTACACATGTGAAATGTTAGCATGCCCTAGAGAGCCCTCACAAACTCTTAAATGGTGCAGTCAGCTAGAAACTTTCGGGACTGAGCTGGTGTAGGTGAGTTGTAGGAATATGTTCTTGTGTGTGGTAACTGGTCAATGCAGATTCTACTGGTATGTTAAAAATTCTCAAGGCAGACTTTCAGGAACACCTGAGCCTTTGAGTTGCTTTGAAATACAGATTTAAGCTTTCTAAATCACATAGGGAAAACCTTTTAAATGTACCAGGGTTGTCTAATTAAGTCTTAACAGCTTGCTCCAATTTAAGTTTAGGAAAATGCTTCTTGCAACTGATTGTAAGCTAACTTGTATCTTTGTCTTTTAGATCTGGCCGTTATCTGAGGTGGTTTATGCATTCATTTATATGTCATGCAGCTATTATTTATGTAGGATTAGTTGCAAAGGGAAGTACAGAACTGCTAATAGTGTTTTTCTTTTGACTGCTTTTCTTATGGCCCAGCCTTTGGCTTCTGGGACATTACAATTTCAGTGATAATTCAGCAATGCTCTAAACATATGCTTGTTTGATTTGTACTGCAGCAGATTTAAAACTGAATCCTGCTACTCCTTTCTTTTTTATGCAATATTCACTTCTTTCTTTATTACAGTTTCTGAACCTTATAATGTTGTTAGAGAATGAAACACAGGCTCATGGCAGGCTCCTAGCAGTCAGTTTCTTAGAGAATGAAAGCATCTGTTCATGTTGCTTTGCAGAGGCTCCAAGCCCATGTAAACCAATTTTGTTTAATGATTTTTTTATATTCAACTTAACATTTCCAACTAGCAGATATACTTTATAAATCAGTAGCTGGATTCCTGTATCCCCAATACAAATATATTTTCTAGCAGTGAAGAATGTTGATCCCCCTCCTGTGGCAGAGTTTCTTCTGAATGCTTTTCTGAACAGAGGCTAGATCTGGATGGCTCTTTAATTTGAACAGTGTTTACAAAGAGCTTATAGCCTGGGTTGGCAAACCCAAAATAGGAATGTTAACTGCCCTTTCCTTGTTCAGATATATTACATTAAAGGTGGATGCAGCAGATCTCCTTTGAGGATGAAGCTGAGGTCTTTGGTTTAGTTTTGCTTTGTTTTTTCAGCTAAGGAAGCCAGCATGACTGAAATGTGTCTTGATTTATGATCAACTTCAGCTTTCCTTCTGCTCTCGCTGCCAGCATGCTGATATTGTAAAACGTTGCTCAGACAAGATATAACAATTGCCTTTACGTTTGTGTACAGACTAAATTTTACAGTATTTGAGACGTATGGCTGTAGAGGTTTTTGTCTACCCTCTAAGGTCAGTTCTCATTTCTAAATGCTTTTTTTAGCCCTGTTTTAAGTGCTCTTCAGCTGCTCTTTCAAGCAATACTGTTTGTTTGGTTTTTTCTTTTCATCTGCCATACAAAAGCTGTATGGATGAGTGACAGATGGAGCCAAACCTTCGCTATAGTTAGAGAAGAACAGCTGAACTCACCAGCCAGTGTTTGCTTTGTGGTGAGCTGAACAGCCTTCTCAGCTAGGTACTATAATTAGACTATGGATATCCAGTTTAGGTGTAGGTGCCTGAATTTCAGATTTAATGGGAGCTGAATGAGCTTTTGATTTTTGCAAAATATTGTGCAAACCTAGTGAATTGCAAGTTCTATATCACTGGAAAATGTATTTGAGAGCATCCATCAAACTTCTCTTCAATAATCACGTCTTGTCATTTTGACAGGGTTTTCCTCTCTTTTAGTAAATTCAAGTCTCCCTTTAAAAAAAGCCAACAAAACCCCCCCAAAACATACCAAGACAAAAATGCAACCATATTTTTAAATCTGAAGTTAAAGTTTAATTCCTTTCCATTGGAGGTCTTTGGTGCCGCTGTCCTTGCATTGCAAATACATGTTATATCAAATCTTCGCCATTTCAGCTGCTTCTATTACAGTTTGACAAAGGTGCTGCTGGAGCCTGGCTCAAGCATTGCTAAAAGAATAGTTGTTAGAGCATCTGAGGTGAGAAAAGCCAAGGCATCCAGCACACCTCTCACTACTTCTATTCCTGTACTCACTCCTTGAACACTTGTAATGTACACAGAATTTTAAAATGCCTTACAAGAGTTACCGAACCTGAATGCTGGGATAATTTACATGTTTTATGGATGAACATTTTTAGTGTAAAGGAGAACACTTCTTAAAGACTGTTCTGTAAGTAAATGTTTTGCATGATGCTCTGAAGGCAGGAGAGATCAGTTCTCGCATGACTCTTAAAAAGGATACATAACTATAAACTCTTGAAGAGGTAATAAAAATATATGTAGAGCATAGAACAAATTTAATAGTTTGGGGTTTTTTTCAAAGCTGCAAGTACTGCTTGTGTGTTCACAGAGTAGTGAGGATTTCACATGTTCTGTGATGTTTGAATTCTTTGCCTATGTATTCCTAAGGCCTCCTCCAGCAGAGCTGAGAACAGTGCCTCACAGAGCAGTTAGAGGAGCATTAGGGACACCTAATACCTGCTGAAAACTCAGAGCTCTAAAAAATAAATATGCTTTAATGTTTTAAAGAAGAAAAATAAACTCTATATAAAGTCATCCTTACAGTGAGATAACTGCCTAGTTCCAGTTGCTTTTGAAGCTAAAAACCAGACCATGCCTTAGATGAAGGCAATTTCCATTCCAAATCCTACCTTTGCCCATTCATGTTAAGTGCAAATCAGTCTAAAGAATATTGCATAGAGAAAGTAATGGAATCAAACGCTGTTAATCTATTTTTCTTCTGTACAGATCTCAAAACAATGAGCGAGCGCCTCAAGAACAGGTACTACGTGTCTAAGAAATTATTCATGGCAGACTTGCAGCGAGTCTTTACAAACTGCAGAGAGTACAACCCCCCTGAGAGTGAATACTACAAATGTGCCAACATACTGGAGAAATTCTTCTACACAAAAATTAAAGAAGCTGGATTAATTGACAAGTGACACTGTCTTTTTTACAACCAAATAGTGTGCCTACATTATGGGCAGGGGAAGCCATTCTATATGAGTCGTGGGACTTTCAAGAAACTTCTGTTTAATACTTAGCACTTTTAAAAACCCTTTTAGTTTTGCAAACATGTATTATACTGAAGTTACAAAAATTATTTTATTAAAATGCTTTATAATGTATTTAATTACGGAAAATTTCTTTTGTGTGCCGATTACAGTATGTTCCTAATAAGTTTTATCAGCTACAGCCTCAGAAACCCCACAAACATGGGGAAAGTTGCACATGTTTGGGAAGATGAAGAAAATTCCCAGACAACAGATATTATAGCTTACCTAATGCAGTACCTATTTGATAAAGTTTTTTGGTTTGTTTCTTTTCCCAGTAAAAAAAGGGTAAACAGCAGTTGGGGAGGGTTCTGAAACACTTGTTTCTTTGTAGAATCTTTTTATAAGATGTTATTTTTTAAAAGAAACACTCAGCTGGTTGAGAAGCTGTGAGAGAAGAGCAGTCAGTTCTGAAAAAGGACTGACTGTAATCTTTGATAGATGCAAGTTTTTCTATTCGTTTTTGGTTTTGATAAATATTTTACCTGCAAATTGTAATCTCATAACCACTCTTTTGAAGCAAAAAAATCTGTCTAGATGCGTAATGTCATAGTGACTTGGCTTATGCAGGACATAAGTACCCAAAATTACTTTAGAGACTGTAATTCGCATCTACTAGACAATTTCAATTGGCTTAGTAGAGTTAAGGTTTTGATGCACTTCATGCTCCACCCTACTTACTACTCTTCACTGATAATCTAAAGAATTTATTCAGCAGAGATAAGATGATTGTACACAGAAGTCAACATAGGACAGCTTTGAGCTTAGATACTTGGCTCCATGGTAAACTGGATTTTCTACCAAGCTTTATTGTAAATGCATATTAACTGTGATTATTTAGACCCAGGAACGTATTAACATTTTACAACTCATGTTAGTGTATCTTCAAATAGAGCACATACACACCTATATATATATATATTATATATATATTTTGCTGCTTACACTACATTTAAGGGTACACCTAACTCCTTAATGGAGATCAGTACAGGCCAAAAAGCTGTCCCTTGGCATTTTCTAATTAGAGTTTGTAACTGTAAATTATAATTGCTTTTGTGAAAAACAGATTTAACTTTCATTCTTGATGTTTTATATTTACAGATGTTACACTGGTAAAATTCAATAGTTATAAGACTGAAAAAAAAACCCCAATACTGTGCTGTGTCAAAGAATCTGTTCCTGCAAAATGCCTGTGCAATGTTAGATCACAAGTCAATTCAGCAAGTAGATGTCAGGAACTACCTGGAAGTAGTAAATGTGGTACACAAGGTATTCAAAATGTTAACGCTGAACTTGCCATTGTGTTTTGTATGAGATTAGTCTGACCTACATTGGAGTCTATAACAAAGGTACAGCAAGTACTTTTTTTTAAATAGCCAGAACAGGATGCTGTAAACCTGTTTTGTAGATTGGGCCTACAGATGCACCTGTTAAGCTTGGTATCCTGTGAATTTTTGTTATTTTCAGAGTAGATTTTCTTATTGTCTTTCAATCAGATTGTCTCTTCTATATTGAAACATGTGTTTTCTAATTTAAGAATTAATATTTTCATAGATACTGTGCAATAAAGTTATGGTAGGATATGTGGTTTTGCAAATGCTTTAACAGCTGATGAACTTTACATTTGTCAAATTAATATATTGTACTGGTACAGAATAGTTTTAAATTATATATGTACAAAACCCTATTTATTTTGGTCTCTTTTCTTCATTATTCAGTACTTGTGCTACAAACACACACTGAAGCAATTTCCCAACTGAGCACAGTCAATCTACAAGAGTCCTGTCAGTGCCTCTTACAGGTGCAACGGTCCCTGAGTTCTGAGAACATGATACACTGAGCTGTGACCAATCCAAGTGGCATTCCCAGCTCCATACTGAGCTACAGTATTGTTGCTCCCATCACCTCAACACTTCCTGCTGTTCCCAAGTTTTGATTTTTTTACCTCAAAGCATGGTTCTGCTACTTGCTCATATTTACCTGTGAGAGTCGTTTACTCACAACACAAAGTATATGTAGCAGCAAACTGCAGTTTATGTTGAGTTTGTACTGTCACCATGATGCTAGTGAGCTGGTCACTTATTTTGCATACCATAAAGAAATCCTGAACCTGTCCACTACCTGACAGATAATTCAAGAGTAAGATGATTTTTTTTCCACCCATCTGCCAAGATTTTGTCCAGTGTCACATCATATAGAAGTGTTCAGAGGGTAGGCAAATAGTGGTCAGAAGAGACTCAGCTGTTTTCTTGAACACTTCTAGAGATAGCAGTTGAGATTAGGTAAACTGGACTGATTCCTTCCTTACACAGTTCTATCCCTCTAATTCTTCAACCTCAGTCCAATAAAAAAGACAAATCCAGACCCACCACACTTGTCTTGGGCTGCTCTGCAATCACTGTTATTTTTCTGTTGCTAGTAAACAGCTGTAACATATTTGTTTGCTGAAAGAGCACCTGAAGTTGAATCATTCTGCTTAAGTTCCTATAGTACTAGAATTTCAGGATACTAAGGGAAAGTTAAGTTTCAGTTCTAATATACAAAGGCTGCATTCTGAACAACTATTTTCAAACACGCTGTAGCTGCAGCTTAGATTACTACTGGTGAGAGTCATAAGTTAATAGTAAAATAGTAACACTATACCTTTTTATGACAGAAAGGGAGAGATCTTGCACTTTGCCATTATTTATTTTGAATGTAGCTTTTGCCTGAGTATTCATGTATCCATTAGTACTGAAATGTTGGTCACACAAAGTAAAAGTAGTTTGAGTGCTCTGTAACCTTGCTGGACAGATGATAACAGTGTGGCCGTGTGTGGCACCAGCTCAGGTGTAGCAGCCTTTCCTCAGGGAAACATGCTTGCCAAAGTGAGGACAAAATGATGAGAAATTAATACAAATTGTTATAATAGTCCCATAACAGTTGAGACTAATACTTTAGTTTACACTCTGTCACAGCAGAGCCCTCCTCACCAACCTTCAAAGAGAAATTAGCTTTCTTTCTGTGTGGTAAATTGCTTTTTTTGAGAGCTGCAGCTACAGATCAAATTACAACTGGCAATCTTGTACCTAAGCAGTGTTTATGCCACTGCATAAGAAGGGGCCAGAGTACACTGGTCCATAATTCCCATTGCTGCCATTACTGGCCTAGGAGCAAATGTGGAAGCTGTGCAAAAAGAATACCAACCCACTCCAAGCTGTTTCCCAACACTGAACCATTTATTCTAAATTCAATAAAAAACTACAATCGTTACATAAACACAATCTGTACAAACACTATTAAAAACAGCCCTGTGCCCAAAACATTTCATCATGTGCCTGAAGTTCACTACTACCAACTATAAGCCATAAAATGACAGTCATCATCTTACCCATCCGAGATTTCTCATATCCTCCCAGATCCATTCAAATGGAGTGCGAATGGAATCAGCTTAGTTATAAAAGTAGAGAAACTGTATCATTAAAAACAAATCACTGGGTTAGGTACACCCCCTCTTTATTGGATACACAAATATTTACGTATTTATATAAGGTATCATGCAACAGTAATTTCCTGGATGGAAGACTTCCTTTCTTCATGGCAGGAGGATGGAATCTCAATGACAAATTTCTCGTTTTATTTTTTCAGAGATTCTTTTTCTTAAGAGAATGGCGTTTATCATCTTTTTTCTGTTTGAAAATTGGAGAATGCAGGAAATTTGTATCGGTAAATGGATCTCCTCTCCTGAGCTTCCTGGTTAAAAAAAAAAATAAAGGGAAAACTGAGTTCTGTTCCCTATGTCACTCAGTAACTTTTAGCTAGTAAGTTCCACTTCACGCGAATGAGGCTGTATTACGAACACCAAACCTCTCCGAACGAGCTCTTTTGTTAAGGACTTATTTTCAAAATAAGCCTCTCAAATACTTTACTGGGTGAATATTATGTACTTTATATCAAACTGGAAACTCAAGACACCTACCCTGCAAGACTTGGTTCTTTATAGCTCACAGCAGAAGCACAGCTTCTCTTGCGTTTTGGAGAACCTAGTCCTCCACCTTCTGGGACAATTCCAGCACTGGGGAGCAATGCAGCAGTATTGGTAACGTCACAGAGATGCCCACGAGATGGCTCAGAAGGCTGGCCTGTGAAGAAATCAGACACACTTCAGACTATACAGGGAAGTGAGCTTGAAGAAGAATATCAATGAACACACTGGATGTCAAGTAACTCCCAATCAGAAATGTTATCTCCATTTTTCCACTTTAAAATACATAGGAGGATAAACACATTCAGGATTTTCATTTGGAAAAATAAACACTAAGGCAAACTGTGATTTGTTATTCCACTTCTCTCTCAAATTATATCTTGTTCTCTTTTTCCTCAGCTTTAATGCATCGTTAACATAGCTAAACCACAGTATTAATTCATTGCTGACCAATGTCTAAAAAAAATAATTTAATTTCAATATCTGCCAAGGGAAAATAAAAAAGAACAAATCTAACCATTCTTATAACATTATTCTGTTTGTTCTTATTACAAAAAACCAAACCCCAAAAATAAAAAAGCCTAAACCCCTTAAATAATGTTATCTTTCAAAGAAACAAAACCCATTACAGAACACCTTCTACACTTACTAATAGACTTGTCACTTGATTCGTTGTTTTCAGTCTCTTCTTCATGACGAAGTTGCTGCTCATGCTGTGCCAAACGTCTTTTAGACCTTGGCCTTGCATGGATTGGTGATGTAGCATTGTTGTCTGGTGAACTTTTCCTTCTCTTCGATTTGCTCTTGTAAGGCTCATAGAGGCTGTCATCTGAATCATCTTCACTATCGCTCGGCTCGGTGCTATTAGACTCAGCCAAGTCTTCTTTGTCAACTGTATCAGTATCTGTGCCATTCGCCTTTTGTCGAAAAGGTGTAAGATGGACACGTTCTCCCAACTGAAAGTCATACGCATCACAGACACCACCGAAGAACTTTGACTTTTTTTTGGAAACCCCTTTACCCTGTTTTCCTGGTCCTTGTTGGGAAGTATTTTTAGGCCGTTCCAGTTTTCCCTTCTGGTGCTTATCTTTTGTTTGTTGAGAGTCTTCTCTACATTTACACTCAGGTTGTTTAAGATCAGAAGTATCGTTTAAGTTGATCTGTGCAGTTTGAGAATCTCTCTGCCTCAACACCAGCTCTGAATCTCCCTTGTTGACATTCAACTGAGAAACAGCTGCATTTACATTTTCTGTAGCACACTTCTCTAGACTTTCCTCAAGCCTAATTTCATTCTGTTCAGAAAGCTCTTTTATTGAATCAGGTGCTTCTGAATGGTCTAAGACACCAGTGCTAATTACATCACGGTTTCTCATTTTAGAAAAGCGGTGTCTAGTAGTCACATGTTTTGGTAACACTTTACCAAGCCCATACTTTGCACTTGAAGGAAAAATTTCCAGCTCTGATGCTATGTTGTCCAGATGAAAATCAGATGTCTGTCCTTGTAATCAAAGAGAATAAGTCACATTAGAGCATATTAAACAGTAACATGTTTAGGTTTTGTGCAAAAAAATTCGGAACTTGTCAAAAATTCAGACTGTTCTTACAGTTTTCTCCACAGATTTGTATAAACTAGGATTTGGCAATCAAGATAAGCTCTGTTTAACACAGCACTTAAGAATATCACATTAGTATTTTCCTCTAAACTGTTCCTTTTGGAAAGGTTATCTACAGGTCATTTATTTTCCTCAGTATTTTGCTTTATTAACAAGTGTTGATTTCATAACTGCTACTGCATGACTAAAGGTGTCTTTACTCAGTTGAACTGTTTGGTAGATAGTGAAACAGGATTGCAGGTGTAGAGAAGATAAAGCATTTTGAAATTCTTCCCCAATTTGCTGAGCATCTTCATTCAAACATTTTACTGATTGCCAACATTAATATCTCCTCTTTATAAGGATAAGCAGAAAATTACTTGTCGAAAGCAGCAGTTACACTTTAAACTTGCAGTTACACATTTTTTTCCTAATTCAGGCTAGAACAATGTCTGATTCTTAAGATTTAGTTACCTTCGTTTTGAATTATTTCAGTTAAGGAAATGTCACAGTCAGATTCCACAGAGATCTTTGACAAAGAATGAGTCAACTCGTTTTTATTGCTATCAGCCTCTGTCCCACTTGCAAGTACAGGACCTTCTCCATGTGCACATTCTAGAGATGCTCTAGAGAAAATACCAAAGGTTGTATATTTACTGAGCAGCAACAGATTTTACGACAATTAATGATTTCATTACATTGAGTTTCTTCTCTTTTTCCAGTCAGAAAATTAAGCTTACTGTAACAGAGTTGTCAAACATAAACAGGCATTGATAAAAGATACTTACACTGAATATATTGGTCCTGTGACACTGCAGCTGTTTCCAGGACCTGAAGAAAGTACTCTTGGATTCTGTCAACACAATAAATCTTACTGTGACTAAATAGCCAAAACAAGCTTGCACCATCTACAAATTTTAGAGGACAGCTCAGCTCCTGCAAGTCAGCACATTCATCATCAGCCCAATGCTGCAGAGAACAAACAGGGGAAGGAATTGTGCACAAGACCTAAGAAAATCAGGATGCTCCAAGCACCTCCTAGCAGAGCCTCAGTCGCACTTTCAGCCTACTGACACACCCCCACAGTGTGTACCCCCTAGCATACTGGGAACTGTGGGACAAGTCCTTCCTCCAAACTAAGGCTCAAATCTCAAAAAATAATGTGCATCTATGTTTGGAAGGAGTAAGGGGAGGAATTAAGTCCTGTTCCTCAAGAGGAAAATGTACCTACTGTATCTATGGAACACAAATCCTTTGCTGGGCCAAGCAGATCAATTGAATCCAGTAAATTCTGAGAGACTTTGAAAATTATCTCGTTCAAGGCTGACAGTCGATTCTAATGGAAGAAAGGACAATAACACTCTTACTCTAGAATCAGCTACCAATGAAATAACTTGTCATGGTTTAACTCCAGGCAGCAGCTAAGCCCCATGCAACCACTCACTCCCCCATGAGCAGGATGGGGAAAAAAATCAGAAGGGTAAAAGCTAGAAAATTCATGGGTTGAGATAAAGACTGCTTGTGTGCACAGCTTTTGCTTTCCCCTATTAAACTAAGAAAAACAAGGAATTTCCTGCTTCCCATGGGCAAGAGGTGTTCAGCCATCTCCAGGACAGCAGGGCCCTATCACATGTAACAGTTACATGGGAAGACAAACACCATTACTCCAAACTTGTACCCCCTTCTTCCTCCCACTTTATATACTGAGCATGTCATATGCTATGGAACATCCCTTTGACCAGTCTGGGTCACCTGTCCCAGCTGTGTCTCCTCCCAATCTCCCATGCATCCCCAACTTCCTTGCCAGTGTGGCAGTATAGAAAGCAGCAAAGGCCTTGACTCTGTGTAAACTCTGCTCAGCAATAACAAAAATGTCTCTGCATTATCAACCCTGTGTTCTGCACAAATCCTAAACATAGCCCCACATTACCCACTGTGTAGAGTTATCTCCACCTCAGCCAAAACCAGCATGTAACTTCTTATCAGTATTGAGATAACTAAACCCTAAAGAAAACTTTGTCAGGTACCTTTACATGTGATAAAAAACCCCATAAAATTCACAGAAGATAGATTTTAGGTAAGCAAGAGTAGCCAGAAATAGAAATTAATTAGTTAATCACCAGGTGTCATGGTATCCAAACCATCACATCAGGTTAGGTCAAAATAAAACTGTTGTATATATTGAGTTAGATATCTTTAAGATCTTAAATGTTTCATAAAAAACTATCAGTGGATTGGTGCAGATTCTGATATTCAGCTTACCAACTCATAAAGTGATTATTATTAAAAATACCTCCACAAGTCCCTGTTCTTGCTGGAGCCTATAATTTCTTTGCAAGTCGAACATCTGAACCTTCAAATTGTGATAATCTTTCCTCAATTGAAGAATGGTAGCTTCGGCTTCTCTCAGTTTGCGCTTTTCTTCCTGCAAGGACAGAGCTAGATCTCTATTGTTTGCTTGAATGATCTTCAGCTTGTTGGAGCTGTTGTCTGCAACACAACAGTGAGTGTTTCAACTAGGCTTGAAAAGAAAACAAATACACTATAAATATGAAGATATTAAAGCATCTTACTCGCTCTTTTGCTCTTTATGACGGAGAACTGGGTAATTTTACCCAGCCTTGCCCATTTCTGGAGTTTTTTCTGTCTCATACATAGTTTTATGTCGCTCAGGCTATCTTTGAAGGGCTTCCTCGCGTATTCTGCCATCTTTTGCCTGGAGAAACAGAAGGGGTGAAGAATCCACGAGGCTGGGGTTGCACCACGCTCCCCGACGCCAAACGGGACAGAAGCACACGAGTGAAGCAGTTTTAAGCGGATGGACACACAGAGCAGAGACCCACAACTCCGGAAAGACACGCAGCTGTGGCTATTTCCACCATTTGCGGTCCGGCGGCCGCTGCCACCATCGCGGATTGCCTGAGCCGCAAAACGCTCGGTGCCCGCGGCGAGGGGACAGCTTTCAACAGCGGCCTCGGAGCGGCGCGGGCAGGGGAAAGGCTGGGGGAGTTTCTCCCGAGGCGTCGGAACCCTCCGGCTCCTCTAACACCGCAGCGTC